CCGCCCCCCCCTCCGCCCCCCCCCTCTTCCTCAACCCCCCGGACCCCCACGCGCCGCCGCCCGAGGATACCCATTTCCACGACAAGCAGGTCATCTCCGAGACCCTCCACGACCGCCCCACATATCACCGGACTCACTCCCAAAAGACGCCGGGAAATGCACCGCCGCGCCGGAGACAGCTCCGCCGCGCCGAGACCGACACCCAAAAACGGCGCCAAAACTCGCCGCAAATTTTGTACCCGCAGGACAAGCTTAGCAATGAGGAGTTCCAGCGCGCCATAGAAGCCTTCATCGCCAAACAGTTAAGGTTTCTGAGGGAAGAGTCTTCTTCCGCCATTGTTCTTCAGAATCCCTCGTAGATTCTTAAACCCAGAAAAAAAAAATCACAAAAAAATAATAATAACTGCGCTGAATAATCACAATCCTTCTTAATACACGGCAATGGCAGGCACTACCTGTTTCTTTCTCTTCTGATCCAATTAACTGTAGTGTACAGTCTTGATATTTTCGTATAAGAATGTCACAAACAAAGGTTGTCTAAAATAATTAATTACGCTTCTATTATTATTATTTTTTTATTTTTGGCGAAAATAGGGTGGGGGAAATTAAATGACGTGGAGATAATAAAATAGAACACACCAAGGAACTCGAGAACATGTTCTGAGGTTTATTACTTGACGAAAAAAACGAGGGATTGGATCGAGAATTGGAATCAATGCTGATATTATTCTACAGTGGTTTAATTATTTTAGTAAGAGGTGTGCGGGTTTGTTTGTGGAAAAAGCAAGGGAATGGAATTGTATTCCATATATTACGTGAATGGTTGATGCTTAATTAGTTCATGTAGCATCCAGAAAAGTATGCCACCTACATGCTTGGATAGGATAAAAATATTTTCCAACTGTCTACCTAGTATATTTAAATATAGTTACTATTATTTTTAATGTATATGTTGGCAAATATGTTTCAAGTTTGAATTATGCTTCGTTCGTGGGCATGATCAAAATTTACCAATTTAAGTCCAAATTCAGTTGGGACAGTTTGGTTAATGTTATTATTAGTGGAGCATTTGTTTTTTCTAATTGAAAGAGTTCCACGTTGGACGAGCCAGCTGTAATTCCCTCGTTATTCGCATTCCATGCAATAGATAGATAAACGGAATAATATATCACCAACTTGGTCACCGGATGTTTTCTGCACAGCCAGTTTTCGTATTATATATTATAAGCTGAAAATTTTACGATATGGTATTTCTTATATGTTATAAAAAAAATAAATTTAAAAATATTTTTAAATTCTATAAAATGAGTGAGTTTTGATTTTGATTTTTATAATTTTTTTTTAAAAAGTTGTAAACATTATTTTCAGCTTTTATAAAATATTTTTATAAACAAATACAAAATAAAAGTTTTTAAAATATTACAAGAAAAATATTCAACATTGTCTTTTACTAAATAATTTGAGGGTTATTAAATATACTATAAAATAATCTGATTGTTATAAAAATACTAGTTCAAAAGAGTTTATAATTATTTTCTAATAAAATTCATATAAAAATTATAAAGGGGAAATTTCATTTTTTTTGCAAGAATTGACGTATGTTCTAAATTGTTTGGTGAATAATTGTTTCAGAAGGATTAGCTCATATAATGATGTTATAGATATAGTCTTTTCTAAATATTATATTATTTATTACTAAATCATAACTCTGTGAAATGTTTTTTTAATTTTTCTGCCATTAACTACAGTTAGATAGGATCATGACAATTAGGAGAGATGCACACACGTACTAATCCATTGTCACCTGTCTTACTAGATAAAATTTCATTTCCTATTCGTTCCATAGCTATTTATTAAGCGAATAGTTCCAAATTTTATAAATATTCGTGATATTTACATATATTCATAAATATTATTAAAATATAAAACTAAAAATTAAAATAAAGTAAAATTTTAATATATGTATATATATATATATATATTTATACTAAACATATATTCTTTCACACAACTAATAAAACATGAAAATAATTTATTATTAAAATATAACTAAGTATATTAATTGAAAAAATGTAAATTATAATACTACTCTTTCAAACAGAATTATTTTCGGTGAAGAATATTTGTAATTTATAAAATAAAACATGTAAATATATATAATTACATATTTTTATGTTATAACATATTGTAGGTATATCTGCACTACTAAAAAAGTGTCATTTTCTTGCAAATTTTCTTGCAAAAATATATTCGCAGAATATTTTTGCGAATTTTTTTACAAAAAAATATTCGCAGAAATTTTTTGCGAATTTATTTGCGAATTTATTTGCGAAAAATAATTTACAGATATTTCTTACAAAATTTGTTACAATTTTAATAATCATAGAAATTTTTTTTCCATGGTAAAAATTTGCAGAAAATATTGTAAGAATTTTATTTTGTTTCTTGCAGATTTTCTTGCAAAAATAAATTCGTAAGTAATGTTTACTAAATGGTAGAAAAAATTTGCAGGTAACTTTTCCTGCGAATTTTCCTACAAATTTTAATCCGCAAGAAAAATAAAAAAAATATATTTAAATTTATAAGTTTAATATTTTAAAAAAACTTCAAGCATCGATTGAAAATAAAGCAATTAAAGAGTATATAAGTTGGGGCAACACTTACCTTACAAGTTGATTTATATGGTTGAGTGTTACGCTAGAATTTAAAAGATTATGTATCACATGTTGGAGGCATGAAAACAAATGCTGATAGAATTTATAGTAATTTCTTTAATTTTTTTCGTAAAAAATGTTCCTGCAAAATTTCTTGCAAAAAAATTCGCAAGAAACTTTCCTACGAATTTTTTTTTGCAGGAAACTTTCCTGCAAACTTCTTTTCGCAGGAAACTTTCCTGCAATTTTTTTCGCAAGAAATTTCGCAGAAAAATTTCTTGCGAATTTTAAAATTCGCAAAAAAATATTATCCACGGAGGTATTACCTGGAGATAAAATTTCGCAGGAAAATTTGCAGGAACAACGTTTCCTGCGAATTTTTATGAAAAATTTGCAAGAAAAGTCGCATGTAATAAGAGAAATTCTAGTAGTGCTGCAATCACAAGTATTTTGCTATATCCCTCAACTCCATTTATATAGTTAGATAGAAAAATCTATTTATTTTATTCGTGATACTCATTTATCTAAATCTAATCTATTGCAAAATTTACCTACAAGTATTTGTGAATATGATTTTTTTCCATCCCCAATCTCAACACTCTCAAAATTCCACTAGTGAAATGAAAAGAAAAAAAATATGTAAGTGACGATTGAGGATACTAAATGCATCAAGTTAAATATAAGAGTAGAAGAAAAATTTATATTCAAAACAATGGGATAACTTTATAAGTAAAAAGGTCCATGAACAATTATTTATTTATTTTTTTATATATAAGGGATTTGAGTCAATATATAGTTTAAAGATAATTATTTAAAATTTTGAAGTCCTTAAAAAAAATTCCTCAACATATAATTTGGCTCCCATAATCTAATAACCCCTTTGTCGTTAAGAAGAAATGTCCATCTGAAGAATCGTTTAGAGAGGCAATATATGCAAAAGGTTATAACAAATACTTTTACCATTTAAAATATTTCTAAATTCTTTGGGAATTATATCATTATGTTTTTTTCAAATAAATCAACGCAAAATTTTCAGAAAAATTGTGCATCATTTATTCATCTTTATGACTCTTATCTACAAATTTCTTCTTATTGAAATTCTACTTTTTATCACAACGTTTTGCAGGTATGTGTATATGTTTATGATGGGATGTTATGGTGCTTTAATTTATTATTATTTTTTAAAATATCACGTTTCAAATTATTTGATGAATGCATGGTTACATTTTGTTCCTATTAATCAATAATATAAATTGCTCGCTTCAAACAAACACCCATTTCCATAATTGAGAAAGACAAATTAATCCCTCGACTATCAATTCATAATGGTATGTGATAATAGCTAACTACACAACTTGATTTAGCCTTGTTCCTATGAAGTTAATGCAATCACTTTCGTAATACTATAGTATTGATTTGATTGTGTCTTGTCAATCACACAAAGTTTCTCCTTCTTAGCACATTGCATTCCCTTTTTCTTCGGCAAAAGGTTTCTCCAGTGGATAATTAACCCCAATCATTGTGAAATTATGTGTTGCTCATTATATAAATAATTAACAAAGTCTCTATTACTTCCACTTTCTGTGAAGAGATTATAATCTTGATAAATCTTGTTTATGTTGCCGCCAAACCTTTCCGTTTTCCAAAATGCCCTTTTTCTCTCCCACCTTTTAGCCCCTTATTGGGATGGTCATCATTACTTCCACAAACAATCACTGTTGGAGTGGTTCAGTGGTTGGGTTAGTTTTCTTGTGAGATTTATCTAATTCCCAACTTCTTGAACAACTTTTACTTTCATTAAATTCATGGCAGAAATAGCCAAAGTGAAAAATTAAAAACAAAGTTCACGAGAAGAGGCATGCTCCGACACCACCACCTTCATTAGTCTTCGTGCCTAACTAACACCTTATCACCCATTTACTTGTAGTCATGAAAGTGAACTTTTCACTTTATATCAATGAGAAGAAATATTTCTCGTGTTTGATATAATTTATATATTCTTTTGGGTGTTTTGGTTTGTCTCAAAAAATTGTTATTACTTTAGATGATTAAGAAAATATTAATTATTTTTCTAATAATATTTTATTTTTTAATATATCACTTAAATAAATTTACAATTATATTTTAACTTTTTTTAATAAGAGTTATTTTGTCGAACAAAGTCATTTTATCATATCACCGAATATATATATTAACTGATATAAAATTATCTTAATTTGATAAGTGATTTTGAGTTTGAATATAGACAAAAAAAATTTATGAAATATATATTTATTTATTAAAAAAATCTAATGTAAGACAAGAGAGTAAGGGGCATGGAGTATATTTTTGTGTCTGTTTTAATGATTTGTTTAATGGTGGGTGCCAATAGACTATTGCTTTATTGAAGGCAAAGACAAAAGCATTAAGCATTAAACAAACCTATAGCAGCTGGTCTTATCTTTTTGGTTGGAGAAAATTTTGTTGAGAAAGGCCTTTTTTAGAATTGGAATCCTCAATCATTCAGTAATGTTTAAAACCTTCTATGGTCATTCGAGAGAAAGCAAAATGGGAAGTGTTTAACTTTGAGAGGAATAATTGAGGGCCAATGTTGGGTGTTACTACCTTTTTTCCCCTCACATTCTTCCATCAAACTAGCTCTAATATGCATATTAATTAAAGGGACCCACTTGCTTGGAAAGCTCTATATTCCCAAACCCACTTCTTTTATTAAACCACATAAAAACAGGACCAAGTCATGATTATGTTTCAAGGTTCAGACAAAAGTTTGCTCAAATCTTATATTATTTGTCTAATGCATTTTCATGTGTTA